TTGAGACCTGAATAATGTGTTTTGGTACTGTAGTTGTAGTGCATTTTGAATGTGAAATGAACTGCTTTGCCAAGCTGAACGTCGGTTAGGAGAATTGTGTGAAGAGTTTTGCAAAAGTGACCTAAGTATTGAGAAATGTGTCCTAGCGTCTGTAAAAAACTGTAACAAGAACGGTCTTTTCAAGACCACAAGTCCGATCTTTGTGTTCTTGGTATTGAGAAACACCTCAGATTCTATTAAGAAACGTCTGATAACCCATCTGTAACACCTGAAATTCTCTACTAGCCTGATGCCACTCTGTGATATTGACTTCACTTGAACATCGCTTTGGACAAAATCGTCTGCAAAATAAAATAAATGTAATGTAAGAATGAAAAAAATAAAGATGTTACGCATTATGGTATTTATTGCTTTATTACACAAAATAATTTATTTTAATTAATCCTATTTCGCAAAGGTTTATAATCCTTAACAAGAACTTCCGCAAGTGCTGCTGCACTTTCGATAGGTACCCACCGAAGCGAGACTCGACCCCGGTCTCATACTCACACACGTGCAAGCCGCATCGAAACTGCCGGAAATGTTGCGACAGTCAACACACACACACACATGCATGCAACTTTTAAACAAAATAACTTTATTTTGAGGTTAAAACGGCTTCTTAAAATGTACATAACATACACGGTTGCTTCATTTGTTGTCTAAATTTAGGGGAATTGAGTACTTATTTAGGGAAATTTAGTGCTTAATTCTATTCCCAGAAGGAAGCGGTTCTCACGAAAGTTTTTACTTTTTGTTAGGTCATATTTCTACTTCTTCATACCTAAAAGCAACCGTACCCGGCGAGGCTTTTATTAGTCGATCAATGAGGAGCACGCCCATATTTACTTCTAATATGAACTGCTCCTTCTTAACCACCTAGTGTCAGCCAGCGCTGGATTTAATATGAAATGTATGGAAGAAAATTAGCGAACGCAATGAGATGGAAACCACGAGGATAAACAAATCCACCTGGTCGTAACCAGGTGGATTTTGTGGTGGCGCCACACCCTAGGCGTAGCCAGAATCCTGGTGAGCAGATCTGGAACCGATTTTCGGAAAATTACACGAAAAAGAATTTAGATGTATATATATTTAAACCGTTAAATGGGATTCCAGAGATCAGCAATCCATCCCCGGAAGTCGATGAACGTCTTTGAAAATATGTTAGTACATGACAGAGCACAGAAGTGATTGCGATTTCAGCGTGTATTTAGACTGATGGGTGAACCACTGAAAAGACATCAAGGATCAGCTCAGAAAGCTCAATGTCCCCTATACTTAAATGAATATGTCAGACTTATAACATTTTTTAAAAGCAAGAGACCGCTTTTGGGTTAGATTTTTTGCATAAATAATCCAAAGTTGCAGAGACACAGAGGCCTATTATGAAACCTTGGGAACCACCGCGATTTCTAAATAGCAGGCCTAATGAATGACTCGTACAGACACACTCCTCCCGAGTCAGACCGTGGTGCTTATTACACTCACCCCTATCACTTCCTCCCTTTTCTGAAATGGGAACTGGTGCGCTTTCACTTTAGCAGTGAATTCAGAAGATGCGGGATTCCAGCTGAATATGTCAACGTTTCCGGCTTCTTAGTCTGACAAAGGATTTTGTACACACACATTCATATTTTTAATTTTTTTTTATTCATAAAATAATAGCAATGGAATGTCTGGCGTCGCTTCGGACGCGCGTTCACCCGGTTGTCGTGTCTGCTCAGATAGCCAGCGCTCTCTACGACACCGGCTTGCAGATGGTGGTGAAGGAGCGCTGTTCCGACAACTCCACGGCCACTGAGGAGGACCGACAGAAAGCCATCTCAAATTTTTACATGACATACACCATGTTATCAAGCCTGCTTCCATTCGTACCTGCGTATTTTTTGACGAGATACGGAGACAGGGGATTTAGGAAGGTACCCATCGGCATTCCCCTGTTGGGGTATCTGATCTCCAGGACCCTTTTGTTGCTGGTGATACTCCTAGAGTTACCCATCGAGGTGATGTTCGGCGGGGCTGTGGTGTACGGCTTGTGTGGAGGCTACTCCTCTTACTGGGCAGGTGTTATGGCTCTGGAATCGGCCAGCTCCCAAAAGGAGCGCAGATCTCTCTGCATAATGGGGATTGAACTCGCGTACGGAATCGCAGGTTTTGTCGGAAGTTTATCATCCGGTCACATTTTTCAGATACATGCGATAGGCAATAAAAATGGGGTAGTGTTGGTGGCGTTCTGCATTTTTCTGTATTTCTTGTGCATTATCTATACATTTTTCATCCTGGTCATCCCCGGAACAAGTGCAGGGAACGTTGAACATCGGCAAGAAGGAAACGTCGGGATTTTGTGGAACATAGTGGAATACCCACGCTCCTGTAACATCGTCATTGTACTGCTGTTTATCAGTGCCATCCTATACGACATCGCTGTGGCAGGTGGCATGGAGATGTTGATGTCTTTCATAATGAAAGAGCCTTTAAACTGGGGTGCTGATCAGGTGGGCTACAGCAACGCCGCGGGCTTCGTGATCTTCTTCACGAGTTTCTTTGGAGTCTGGCTTTTCTCCAAGTTCGTCGCGGACGCCGCGATGATAATGATCGGAATGGTGTCCTTCGCTGCTGGAATTTACTTCATGTCATTTGTGACAGCGACCTATTTGTTCTATTTGGGTAAGCAGTGATATTTTATCACTTTTCATTGAGTTTATTTCCCGTGTCGAGAGTAACTCTACAAATAGGCCTATGCTAATATATACCCATTTTAAAATTATACTTGCACTAGAACAAGTTCGCTATGTTTTTCCTTAAAGCATCTCTATATTTTACATTCAGCTCGTGACAGCATCAACACAGTATAGGCCTAGATTAAATAAGAAGAATATTAGTTCAGAAACTTAATGGCTATATTGAAAACCCAAAATATTTTCCTGTACCTTTAGAAATTATGTCAGGAAGTCCAGGGTTCCAGGCACAGACATTTTGAATAACGCAAAGTCACAGGTTCTTCTTGAAATCAGTGCTCACGAGTGATGCAATCCATCACGTTTTGTATGACTGACGGATATTATTAAAAGAAACTGGATATGCGAGTTACGGGGCACTGGATTCTTTTTAAAACAAAAGTAAAAACATCTAAAAGGGATGTTTGGTACGACGACTAAAGACTGCCGAAACCGTTTCAGCGGTCGATGAAGCCGCTGAAACTCGTTATCTGCGATTTACAGTGTAAAGGTGACAACTCTTCCCTGCATAACACCGCTGGCCGCGAAAAGCGCAAACACTCAGCACCAAGAAACAGTCACATCATGCGCTGTTACGTTTTAAGAAGCGCAGCCGGACTTATTGTGTCCTGCACCACTAGCAGATTTAGGGATGGACGACATAGGCAGCCGCCTAGGGCGGCTCCTTACCGGGGGATGCGCGGGGCGCCTGTACAAAAAACGGTTGTGACATTTGCGCAGTCAGTTTTCTATCGCTCATGATATGATGTCGCCGTGGGGTCCGTTATCCTTGTCGGAGAGGACGCTAGGCAGGGCTACCACTCAGAAGTAGGATATGGGGGCGGGGGTGGGCTGGACTCAGGTCGCCCCACTGGAAGCCCGAGGGTTGGGGGAGCGAGGGACTCTATCAAATAGTGCATCTGTTACTTTGTACAGTACTAATGCTTTTAGTAAAAATCAGTTTTGCATTTGTAATAGCTAATTTATATCTTTCCAAATGTCTTAATAAAAACGACAGTTAGGGCCGAGTGGTGCTTTTCTTTGTTGGCCCGGGGGCGCTGGAGGGGGGGTTCGCCCAGGGCGCCTTACAAGCTAAAATCACCTCTGATAATCACTGCACCCTGTCTGGAACGGCTGTCTGGTCATTCCCAATCTGAGCTTCCAGTTTAACCAGTTCTTGTTAATCTGAAACCATGAACCACAAATGTCTCTACTCTTTTGTTCCAGCTCGATCTCTGACCCTGTTTGCACTGATCCCGATGCCCACGATTCGCTCGCTGTTATCTAAGCAGGTGCAGCCTTCCTCCTATGGTAAGTGCTCATGGAAAATAACTATAGGCCTATTTGGGCGCACGATATTGTATTTTTTACTCAAGATATTTTATACGCACAAGAAATCAGGCAAACATTAAAGCAATGGTCACAATGCTTAAATGGTTTATTTATTTATGCACACTTAGTGTACAGAATGTAATGAGTTATACTTGTATATGCAAATACATATAATAGGCTACATACAATAATTCGTGCTCTCGGATTAACGCTATAGTGCTGTGCTTGTTTTTGCGACAGATGTGGTTCGGTCGCTCGTTGGTGGACGTGTCTTAAAATAGATAGATTGAATGGAGTCGCAACCTAATCCAAACGGGCACTTGCGAATCCAATTGTGATGTCAGGGCCGATTCCCAGCCCCACACAATAACCGCATGTTCCTTAAATAAAACGATTCTATTTTACATTTTGGTACATATCTTAGTTAAAGTCCTTCTGAAGCATGGCTTAATTTTTAGTTTTAGTTTAGTTTTAAACTTGCGCTTTTTTATTTTCAGCTATTCATTTCAGTCAGAAGTCAGTTTTGTGCTTTGACAGAGACGGGTTGGTTTTATTTTTAAGGAACAATACCCGCGTATTCCTGAATTAAAAAGGTTTTGGTGTACAAGCCTTTTGCCTTTCTTTGGAAGTTTTCAAAATTTGTTTCCAGTGAGTCTGCATTTGTAACTTTGTGATGCAGTTAGAGCTTTTTAAACATCTCTCCAAATATGGGAATCTGATACATAGTATTTCATATGTAATTCCTGTCGGATTGGTATTGAATCAGAACTGAATCGAATCGGGGCATCTGTGCCAGTACCCAGCCCTAGTGAACATACTTCCTTATTTCAGCAGCAGAAGTTGGATTTCAGGATATGGTAACATACATTTAAATACATATATTTTTCTTGAGGATTCACTTCCTCATTTTTGTTTTATTACTTGGGTTAACATTCTGGAGCATTTGTCTGCAGAACTGATACAGACACAGTCAGCTGTAATTGTCCAAGATTCTTCGTATCTTTTTAAAAGCCCAACTGCATGGATAACGTCCTGTGGAAGCTATAGGGTGATTTGGGTCATCAACATTTATATGTGCATTTTGTTTCAGAAATTGGTTTTCGATGTTTAAAGCAAAAATAAAGAGTAACGATCATAAAAAGGTACAATGCAGATCAATGACATCATTGCGTATGACAGACAAACCATGTTCTAATTTAGTCCCACCAACCATTTACTACAGTTATTTAGCAGGTTCTTTTATCCAAAGCAAATACAATTACAGTTAACATTGAGAAAGCAAGGTCAGCCAGTCTCTGGAGCGACTGGGATTAAGGCCTTGCTGAAGAGCCCACCAGTGACAACAATCTACTGATCACAGGATTCAAACTGTCAACCTTCTGATCGCAGACACTGAACCACACACCAACCCCACGTCTCTTGATAGGCTAACAGTTAGAAGCGAGTCATGTAGCAGAAATATGTTTAAAATTTAAAGATGAAAACTGCTTTATGGTGACCACATGTTTACAGACTGAGTCACATTTTATCTTCCCACAGGGAAAATTCTTATTTCTCTGCAGCTCTCCTTCACTCTTGCCAGTTTGATCTATTCGCCCATCTACACCAAGGTTTACCAAAGCACTCTGAGCTGGTTTCCTGGCTTTGTATTTCTGTTGTCCAGCATCATCACAGTCCTGGCAATCATTCCCATAAGGTAAGGGTCACTAGGTCTATGCATGTCATTATCATACAGTGCAGTTGGCTTGAATCCAGCAGAGTGTGTGCAGTTCGCGAGACCTGAGGTTGTTGGCGGTTTCCTTCAGCTATTGGAATCGATCGCAATATGTACTTTGGATAAATGTGTGACTCTATTGTGTTAGTTAAATTTTTAACCAGAATGGCTTATGACACCATCAGCTAATACCTGATTATTATCCCTACAGTATGGTAGGCTGGAGGATGGCACGGCAGGAAGGCTACGTGAGCATCGAAGGTGACTGATGAGTCTCATATTTTGGATTCCAAGCTTGCATTTCAGCCGCTCCGCCCATGTGAGCTCACAAGACCTGGACAGACCAGGTAACCTTAGAGTGCCTCGCTTCGATACTTCCTGGAGGAATTCGTCTCAAGGGCAAGCCCAGATCAAAACCAAAGAAGGACTCTGAGAGAGATTCACAATCATCAGTATCTGTAAGAAGGCATATCCGATAAGAAGTAAAACTGCCTTTTCTTAATTTATCATTTCTTTTGGTAATTGTCATATTTACTAAAATACCCATGATTTGTACAAGTAAACCTATTGTGGGTGTTTGTTTTCTGAAATTTATACATGTTCATAGGTTTACAGTATAAGATTCATTGCATTTATTACTCTTCAGAATATATCTCATTCTCTTGTCATGTCTTCTACACTATTTACTATATATCGGCATGGTCTCTCCACATGGGCCTCCCCAGCTCCAGGTGACTGACCTTATCTGACCTTCAGCATTGTCCATTGTGGTGTCCTTTGGAACTTGAATCTTGCTTAGCAACCAGCTTAGCTATGTGCCTTGCAGTCGGCACCCCCTTCAGCACAGAGTACTTGGTACTCGGAGGCATGCCAGCTGGAGGGGAAATATCTGATGGGCGGAATACTCTCCCACCTGATAGTACGTAGTTCGGGGTGCGCGACTTTATCAGAGTTAGTAACGTTTGACGTTTCCTTTGTCCTTGTTCTGTTTTTGTGACAGCCATGCCTTGTAAGTGTATTTCTTTTTCAGAGTGCATTTAATTGTTTGCCGGAAAACTAAGGTATTTGGAGTTTTAATGTTCTGTTTATTTATTTGTTGACATGCTGAATCATACTGATGAAGAAATATTACATTAGTTATATATTATGACTACACAGATGTTAGGTATGAAGGTATGAGGGTTTACATAAGAAGTATGATTTGTAAATCAGTTTATTTACAGTACCTGTCAAATGTCTGGACACACCTACTGAAAATCATTTGTTTTTCAACAAGATGGCTGCATGTGGAAGCTGGTTGAAAGAATGACAAGAGTCAGCAATGCTGTCATCAAAGCCAAAGGGGCTATTTTAAAGAGTCTAAAACTTGAGAATATTTTAAGATGTCGAACACTTCTCTTGGTTCTTTTAATACTTGATTCATATTACTTGCTTTGAGACTTTTTACTGTGGGGAGAATATAGCTACGGAGACAAATGCATTAAACACAGGTGTGTGCGGACATTTGACTGATCCTGTTTATCAGGAGTAGGATGGCGTGTTGCCTCAGTCAGTAGTACTGCAGCCTTTCGCGCGCAGGCTTGGGGGTTACAGTCTGCCTTTTGCTATGTGTATGGACATGTTCTCATCTAGGTTTCCTCTCACAGCTCATAAGATAATTTTTTTCCGTGGCATTTTAAGAATAAAATGTGTGGTTCACTTGTTAAATACGTCACAAGTCAGGTTTGTGTTCTTTCTATATTGCGAGTTATTTTATAATGGCAACTGAAAACCCATATAAACAAATAGAAAATACACTATAGATTTTAAAGATATTTATCATTTTTTCAAATGGCAATAAATGTGCGCTGACTGTGCATCGTAACCTTTGCATGTTCTGGGCCTGAACACAGCTACCGCAGTAGCAGATAGACCTGATTTTTGAGGCTGATGACACTGACAAGGCAGAGCGACACCTGACTCTGTTTCCTCTTCTCTCGCTGCCTGCCACACAAACAGGAAACCTACTGTACGGTTATTTATCACACTTTGGCCTTCTGTACCAGAAACGTGTTGCGTAACCAACTAGCCAACCTGCAACATTGTAGCTGTTAACAGCTATCAGACAATGCATGGTGAGCAGTAGCAGAATGTTGTCATAATGGTGAATTTATTTTGCAATGTAAATAAATATAATAAACAGGTTACAGGGGAGCTGAATTTCACTTAGCGACCAAAATGTAAATAAATCAACAATTCATCACAAACGTAAAATGGACCTACAACCCCTCCAGCAGCCTAGTTTGGCTTTTTTATTTTTATTTGAATAGCATGAAAAAGTGTCAGATTATGATTATTTTATTTTTTGGTACATTCAGTCGTTCACCTTGGTTGTGGAATTTAGATTATATTTTCTGTAATTTACTTACTAATAACCTGAACGTCCCTGTATCTTCCAATCAACCAATAATATAATTAAATAATAATCAGTAATTATTATTTGAATAAAAATAGTTTGCTGTACACATATTTTTTCCTGTTTTACTCTTTAAATATGCTACTATGGAAACATGGGGTTCACAAATGATGTGGACAGTGGTTTTACAGAGTAACGTAAACGTTAGAGTCCGTATTGCATAACTGTTCAAAAGTAAAAGCGATGTAGTAAGTGTAAAAGTATCGGTAATCTAGACGATTAAAATAGAAAAAAGGCAAACGGTAACAACTGAAGACACCAGTGTCCTATCCACACCCGGCAACCTCAGGTCCTGTTGCATCCATGACCCCTGGGAATTGCTGAAATTGCGTAATAACATAAAAAAGAAAGGGAAAGAAAGTCCAGGCTTGCAAAATAACACCCATCAAAGAGTAAAGGAATGGTCATCATTTCAGCAAACGCCAAGGTGTGCTACATTTATGCAACACAATTTTAACAAAATGATGAGTGAATTATAATAACGGCTATCATGGCCGTTGTCCAAAACCAAAAAATAAGACACTTCCACAGGCCTGTTGATATGTTATGTTTCTCCAGAAAGGTTTCACCATGAAGGCTCTTTTAAGTGCTGAAATTGTCAATTGATTTTTCAAAATTCGTTTTTGTTAATAGCTAAATGTAAAGATTTCCCCAGAATAACACCATCCTTATAGTTTGACGGCACAGCCATATGGTTCTGGCTTTAGATGAGAGAAAAACTACTTTTTCAGATCCAATTGTACAAATATAAATATGGATTTGCCACTTCTGTCTGATGCCTGTTTAGTTTTGCTTATTGTGTATTTGCTTATTGTGTATATTGTGTATTTGCTTATTGTGTATTTGTGTTTTCCCCAAAGATAACACAGTCGTTGTTCTACAAAATATCAAATTTATTTTGATAAAAAATTTGTACACATGCACACCCACACAGTATTTGATAACCACAAATATAGCCCAATGATTTTTTTTATTCATAAAGCTAGCACACGGTTGCAGACTTTTAAACATGTTTTAGAAGACACCATGGGGAAAGCTTGCACTGTTCGGTTATAAATTTTAATTTACAAAAAAGGCAGTCTGAAAATCAAGTATAAACATTTAAAAACAATTTTACAAATGGACAAAGTACAAAAAGAGCAACAGTCACTCAAACAATATGTGTAGAAGCTATGCCCAATTACCAACTCATGGAAACATGATTAGCAAAACACCTAACTTCATGGATCAAATGAATTTTTATTTTTTGGTTGACAGTAATGCTAAAGATAATCATTTTATACATTCCTTTTTTGGCAGTCTCTGTTCTAGTCTCTTAAATATATTTTTTTACTTACTCAGAAAAAATAAAATAAAACTGTTTCTTATTTATTTTCATGGAGATCAAATAATGAAAGGGTAATGAATGTAGTATGGATTAGGAGACATGGAATGGTGAAATGTTGGCTTTGATTAATGCTCAAAGGAAAGTGAAGGAAAAGGTTTCATTTCACATGCCAGCTCTGAACCAAGGAACCAAAAAGAGTGCATCCCCATGGGTTTTCATGGGAGACAGTAACACAGTGGCCTGATTTCAGCCTCAATCGCATGCCACTCTGTTGCAGGCTTTTGCTGGGCTAAAAGTGCACCTTCCGATCCCATTGGTGTTGTGGTACGTACATTAACGTTTTCACTGGTCGGCACCTGGCAACAAGCCAGCACTGATATCACCCCAATGGATGTCGATGTCCCGAACTCTGCCCTCACAACATCTATATTACTTGTACATAGCCCAGGGTAAACTTGCATTGCACAATTACACTTAAAAATAAATTTATGTGGGCAGTTGTTTAGGTCCCCCCTCCCCCCCAACTTTGACAAAACACGTTACACGTGGAAATGCATTTAGCTGAACAGCACGTGATCACAGAACGTTTAACTAAATTTCATTTTAATTTTTTTAGATGGAATGCACTAACACAGTGCATCCCAGTCTGGTCCTCGGGAAACCCCCAGACAGTCCACAAAAAAAGTCTGGTGGCCCCCAAGGACCAGACTGGGAAACACTGCACTAACATGAATGCACACAATACATACAAACTACTTTTGCTCCATTCACTGGACAAAATACAAACCATTGTGCATTTATAAGGCAAATACATGGAGGCTGGTTTAAACTAGGCATTTCATGACTTCACCGTGTTGATAAACTAGTCCTTCATTGAGCAGATGCGTCGGTTTGCACTGTGCCCTGAACAGTAAGAGACAAACTCCCTAGCAGCCTGACTGTAAAGAGGGCAGAGTCACCTGGTAATCGAAGGTGTTGGGGAAAAAACACCGAATAAGACTCTTGGCAAAAGTGACACATACTTGCGAGTTGAATTTTTTTTTCCCAATCTGACATGACATACATGCACAGCCTGAGGTTAGCGTGGTGAAGCCAGCCTGAAACAGTGTTTGGCAGAATGTTGGAGGAGTCTACATGTATCCTACTGCGATCTGTGTCGATGTAGCAGGGCCACATGTAGGACCTGACAGTGCACGCTTCGCACGGACCCAAGAGGGTGCATACTGCGTACAGACACGACGAGGCAAACGGTGTATAGATGTGGGACACTACGCGCTGAGTCACCGGAATCTCCAGACCCCAAGGTACCTGCTTACACGTAAGGTTGACACAGTGCCATGGGGGGCGATTTCCACCCCTGCAGACATTTTACAGAAGACAGGAGGAAAAGGTGAGAAATACTGAGGTGCCTTTTGAAACACTGACTCTAATTTAAAGACCTTTGAAGAATTTTTCCTCAATGCTGACAAGACCTTCCTCTCTTCCATCCTCCTGATGTAGAACACACCCAGAGAGGCTGCAAAAAGTGATATATTAAGAGATGCCTGACTTTAGGGCAAACTTATGAGCAGGGCAGAAACTAGACCCAACGAGAAGAATGTAAAGTGTACAGAACTTGACTAGTTGACCGTTGTCATGAAAATCCTAGTTCTGACAGCTATTTTTTTCCCATTAGACAAATTACAGTAATGGAAGAATTGTTCCATAACATGTATGAGATTTGTATGCTAATTGATTGGCTATGGTGGAGAGATCATTTCACGGCACCGAGTCTTTTCAACAGTTTCTTCCCTTTGGAGAGGAGACCCTTTTTCTTTTTGGAGGCCAAGTCGCGGGGGCCCCTTACGGGGCTGCCTGGCCCCAGCGCAGAAGGCCCGGAGCCGGGGAGATGCTGGCGCACAGTGGGGGAGGCGGCTCTCCTGGGTGGACCCGTGTTTTCCAGGGGGACCTAATGGGAGACCCGTAAGGGACAGTTCAGGGCATTACAAAGCCAGCTCTCTCGCAACCCAGTCCCCCTGCGTCCTTTTTACCATAGCAGGGCCACCGTACCTTAGGACGCATGTAAGCACATCTCCCCTTAAAGAGAAGTAGAGTGCCTCCTCTTGCCCACTTGGCTCTTTAAAAGTGTTTTAATTTACACCCCCAAGAAAGATCAGCCTTAAATGCTAAACCTAAAAAGGCAAACCTCTGGCAGGACTTAACAGCATATCATATGCATGATAAGTGCAGTACAAATGTTTAGGAAATGTCCACCCTTCCATTAGAGCACGATTCTGTGGTTGTTATTGTTGAGATTGCTGGGGCTCTACAAAACTGCTACGATGGGCTCAAAGTCAATGATACAAAAACAGGAGATTGGACACAATATCAAGTTGTTTTACATTGAGTCACACAGAATGACAGTATGCAATCGCTCAAAAAATCCCCCTTTAAATGTATAGGCAGTCAGATACACCCAGGTTACAGTGAAACATCTAATTTCTAAATATTCCTTCCTTGTAATCATGGGCTAAAAGGCATTTTTGTAATTGCACTTAAGAGAGGAAGCGACATCTTTAATTATCATTAACATGAGACTGTCATAGCTAATTTGAACTACAGCAAGTCCACCTGGAAGTCCAAATCAAACTTGTAGGGATTAAAGTTAGCGCATAATTTAATGATTAAAAACTTGTATGAAGAGAGGAGATAAGTGTTTAATTTACCAGTTCTGATGCAATTTATCACTTTTCACCAAGGTAACTTCACGAAGGTTGTTGGAACCAATTCAACCTGCTTTAAAAAAGTTTTATTTACAAATCTGTCTGCAAGCACTTTAATGATCGTTAAAAAAAATCAAATAAATAATAAACAAAAACAGAAAAGAAGTTCTCTCATGTTAATATAGTGATGGATTTTTTAAAGAATCTAACTGATGCCATTATCTATGGTGGGAAAAAAAACTGTTAGTAGATCTTTTGCCATTTTGCATCATTCCTTAGGTGACAGCGAAAAAGTGCACCCCACAAACAACTTAATCAGACTAGCTGTTGTGGTGGAACCTGGAGAAGACATTCTCTGTGCAGGCAAACAATGACTGGAAGGTTCCAAATGGAGGAATTGGCTTGTTCTATTCAGCCACATGTAATACAGTGCTCTTGCTCAAAAACTGTGATGAATCATACATTCCGTACTGATGAATCTTAACTTCTTTCATTCTTTCATTAAGAGTGGCGGGGTGCACTACTTCAAGGGGGGGGGGGGATCTAATTTGCGTGTTAAATTGTGTAATAAATAGCAAACAATAACAAGGTAATCTGGACGTGCAACTGTGGCCTTTTAGCTTACCATGAATTACAGCAGGGATACTTATCATGAAAGACGGACATTGTAATGTACAACACCCAGAGAAACAACTGAAGATACCATACTTCTTGTCTAATGCATTGGCCGGGGTGTGCATCCGATGGGAGACACCGTATGCCCTTTTCGCAAATCTGCTGCTCGGATCAAGCGTAGATTTGGAAAAAAAATAAAATTAAATAGAGTGTGGGAAAAAAAACCGGATATATCTGTCTATCAGTGATGGTCTGTGCCATACTGCAAATTTTAGAATAACAAATCATTCTTTTTTTACAAAAAAAAAAAGATATATATATATATATATATCAATAGGTAAGTATGGAAATAAAAGGCAGAGTTACTGCTGAGAGAATAGAATAGGCAGAGGAGGTCTAACGGCATAATAGGGTGAAGCCAAGCGTACCGGCGCCATGTGCATTAGACGAGGCGTACTGGTGGTATTCTCAGTTGCTCACTTACGTGACGGAAACAGTGCCTTTAAGGTGTGAAATGAACACTCTTCTTCTGTTTTGCCAAGCGGGTGAGGAAAGAAATAAAAATGCAGTGATGGCATTTCAATAATCTGCACTATGAATATGAAAAAAATAAAGGATCATAATAAAGAAAAATAAATACAAATCTCAGATGAAACCTGTTGATAGGCAAACATGTTAATTTGCAAAATATTTACATACAGTTATTGGTACAGTATTGTTAATATTATGATTACTGGTTTATTGTAGTGGTAATAAGTTCATTAGCTTTTTGACTGTGTTATGAACTCAATAATCGTACTTGTAATTGTAGGCAAGATACAAAAAACCATTTTGGACAAACACAAAAAAAAGTTGTGACGGGCATAATATTTAGCATTATAAAAAGGTTGGAAAACCTCAAAAGGAGAAGACATGCTTTGCTACAGAATATACAGTACATGGCGTTCATACCCAATGCATCTAGGCTATTTTGTTCCATGTGGGCTTATTTTGGATCAAACATACTTCATATTCATAAAGCACTTTTCACAATGCTAATTTTACACACTATCTGGTGCAAATAAAAGAGTCGGACTGAGCTATTTTTGTGTTTTAATGCAAACAAAGTATTTGTTTCTGTCGGTAATTTGTTTTCGAAAGCTCTATGTCCTCTAGTAATGCTTTATGAATATTTCCATTTATAAAATATTACAATACATACTCGGTTCCCAGTCTACAGCATTTAACATAAAAGTAAACGTACTTCCATAAAGCATAAAGTATCCGGGTCAACTTTACGTTAACAAGAAATCGAACATGCTCCGTTTCTGAATTTCCGTCGTTACTTCAGCCACCAAACACAAACACAGACGGAAAACAAAGCAATAAGTAAATAAATAAATAACGAGGTAAAGAAATCAAAGCGGCGAATGGATGACAGAGGGCTAGTACTGTGAAAGAGGATGTACCCTTTTGGTCTTTATCCGTGCAGGAGCGTCCTGGGCATAGCGGGCTGGAGTGTCAGTGAGATAGACCTCTACATCGTCAGGCACTTCTTCGAGAAAGTTAGAAGGAACAAGACCTTTGTGTCCGTTGAGTTCACCCTGCAGGGGGCAATACAGAGCAAAAAAAAATGTGTAAGGGCTATGTTGTTTTGTTAATGTAAAAATATAGCAGATTTTTTGGTTTTAAAACAAAAGTCCATTGACAAGTTTAACATATCGGCACATATATTCTGCACAAACGTTTTCATTTTATTAAGTATCATAATTTTTTTTTGGCTGACTCGTTCTGTTCTGTTTTTGCTGTTTTGCTATTAGCTGCAATTGTATTCACTGGCTCCCAAAGAAATACTAAACGCAAAGACTGCTTGTTAATGAATGTATATATATTATAAACAAATCAAATAAATAATGTCATACTTTTTGTTATAAAATCAATTGATTTGCCATATTTTTCCTGCATTAAGGAAGCAACCCAGCACTGTATAACCAGTCTCTCAACATCTTATGAGACAGTTCATATTTCTTTACGGGCAGGTCATTGTTTCAGAATAGAAGTGCAAATAACACCTTTTCTCCCATCCCCTATTAATAATTTCTGTCCTTGGCTTACTCTGAAAAACAAAATATTAGGAACTAAGTAGTTCAAATTTACTGTGAACCTGAGTGAGGCTACTCATTTCAGTCACATTGGTGTAGCTACTTCTTAAGCTCTATTCAAGTCAAGTCAAAGGGGCTTTACTGTCATACCATCTATATGCAGGTATAAGATCATGGTGCAACATACTGTATGCAACAGCAGTGACAAGGAGAGGGGGAAGGTTTTCACGGTATTTAAAGTGAAAAGTTACCATTGAACCACCCAGGAAAAAATTGTGTAAATCTTTGATTGAACTGATCCAACCCTAATGGCGTCTGTACAAATTTATGGTCAACGAAACCTTTATTAATGTCAGCTATCCTGTTCCTTCAAACTGTTTTCGCATAAGTGAGCTTCTGCATGTGCTCATCACATCTTTCTCTCCTGTGTCCAGCCCACCACTGAAACACACATTCATAGACCGAAGTTCAGAAGCACTCCTCTAATGGAATTTAGCTGAAGAACCTGCACGGGTATCTCCAGCATGAGGTGAAGTTCTTACTGCTGTGAAGAAATCCTGTGGAGATTAACAAAGCTGTCAGTCAGGAAAGGGGGAATGGATGGGTTTATGGGGGAAAGGAGCCCAGACTGGGGCTAACGCAGTCACCCCCACTGTGTACTCACATAATAAAAGCCGTCTTCGTCGATCTCCCCAAAAACATTTATGATGTCTCCTGCACAGAATGTCAGTTCAGCCTGAAAGACAAAGGAACAAATCTGACTGTCTTAAATATCACGCTCCGTTTAGCATGTCCTTTACTCAAGCTCAGCATGCACACTATACCTTCTTAGGAATTGACTCAGTTTTGAAGCAGGTTTCATTATTACCCAGGAAGGAGTTAACCATCACTGTAATGGCATCTTACACTGAAGAACAACAGCAATAATGCCTTGTCCTCTGCCTCCTACCATGCTAAACACAACATGCACTTATTGCACCTGCAGCCGCAGGTGTCCAATGATGCCCTTTGTGTTAATTATTGTGCTGAACAAGAGCACAGGAGATAAAAAGAGAATACAGACCGTTCAAACAACACAAAACGCTTCAGGGAAACCATGTGACACTGAAGCAGGGAAGCATACTGAAGTACTGGTTCATCTAGTATGCAAACCAATACATGTCATCCATCCATCCATCCATCCATCCATTATCCAACCCGCTTATCCTACTGGGTCGCGGGGGGTCCGGAGCCTATCCCGGAAGCAATGGGCACGAGGCAGGGAACAACCCTAGACGGGGGGCCAACCCATCGCAGGGCACACTCACACACCATTCACTCACACACCATTCACTCACACACCATTCACTCACACATCATTCACTCACACACCATTCACTCACACAGGCACACCTGTGGGCAATTTAGTAACGCCAATTAGCCTCAGCATGTCTTTGGACTGTGGGGGGAAACCGGAGTACCCCGAGGAAACCCCACGACGACACGGGAAGAACATGCAAACTCCACACACATGTAACCCAGGTGGAGACTTAAACCCAGGTCCCAGAGGTGTGAGGCAACAGTGCTAACCACTGCATCACTATGCCACCCCTCAACTTAACATCCTAACATCCCTTAACAGCTTTAATATACATTATGCTAACCACTGCACCACTATGCCGCCCCCCAATACATGTCATATGATAGAAAATTGCAGATTGCATAAATTAACCACAGAAAATGATACCAAGGTTACATATTCAAAGGTTACAACCAAATACCACTATAATTATACCAACAGATCAGTATGGTTTGTAACAAAGAATACAATGATAAAAATACTAAATCATCAAGGTCGATCCTCTTTCTGGTTAGTAATCCAGACTAAGTCCAAATCACACAGTCAGGTAGGTTCCTTCTCAACCCGAGAACCTTCCACTCTAAAGTGTCACCACCTAGCAACTGTTTGGTGAGGACTGGGAGAGTTGGGTTTCTACGGCGGAATCCAGCACAGAGAGCACAAAGACGGGGGCCGCCGGCATCACCTCCACGTCCACGTTGGGGGAGCTTTCCCTGGGGTCGTAGTCATACAGCGCCACCATCCTGCGCGTGGACAGTGGCTGCTGCCGCCCGCTCCGTCTGTTTCGCTCTGCAAGAGCAGGGGAGCACAAGCGACAAGATACTCAGGGGATCGATCCGTGTACCAATCTCCCCTGACGTCACTAAAGCTACGACCTGTTCCCCACTCCCATACTGTACCATATTTTAGGCTGGCACGGTCTAAATCGCTTGGCCTGTTTATGGTATCTTCTCTACCCCACTGAATTTTACTGCTGTTACAGCCACTGTAAATCACTGCAGGGAGAGGGGTGATGTTTGGTCCACACCAAGTCATTATTCAAGACTTAAGAAGCTATTGCCATAAAAACATACCTTCGAGTCAACAAAAACACGAATTACTGCCTAAATCAAGCCCCAGAAGACACATGGAAACCGCAAGAGAACAGACAGAAATGAGTGGATGTGGGAGTGAGGGAGGAGTTTATCCTGGAAAGAACACAGACCTCGCTTGGACTTTCGGGATCTGCGGTTTATTGAACGGCCGTCTTTGAAACGATTGCAGTTCACTTCGCGGGAAAGGAAGGCGAAACAGAACAGAACAAGAGAAAAGAGTGAAAAGCTCAAGGGCTGAACGAGTCATCAGCAGGAGACACTGGAAGATACAGGGCTGTCAGGAAGGGCGTCTGTTACACTGGCAGCTTATGTAGGAACCCATAAGCTCAGATTAATCTGCAGACCTAAATATAAGTCAATCATTAGCTCAATACAGTCAAAGGACCATAATTTAGACCCTTATTGGCTATTTCAGTCCTTCCTGAGAGGGCCACAGTCAACAGAAAAAAAATAAAAACAATACTGTCAACAAATATTACAGAGCCTAGTTAGGGAACTTTACAGCCTCTGTCAGTCTAATGAACTCTAAAGGTTATCTTGCTGCTTAAACACCTGCATTTGAGTAAGAACCCCAAATTGAAAAAGAACTAAATTCACCTGAATGACCTTCAATACACATCAATGACATTAATAAATAACTGACTGGTGCCAAATAAAAGTCTTGAAGAGGATTGGATTGTGAGTGACAACAGCTTCTATCCTTGAATTACCTGCTCAATTGCTATATCTGATTAAACCACATTATAGGTGAGACTCTGAGGATGACTGTTTTCCTAAGGTCATTCTTACGGACTTGCATCTTTTGGCCGGATTCTAGAGTAAGGTAATACGGTATAGCACAATATTTTGGGTATACTGTGGAATTTTGAAACCTTGACAGTAAAATTTCCCAGAGGAGGATGCTGGTTTGGTGAAACACACTGTGGGACACCCTGTCCTCCTCAGTCATTTGGTGAATTTTATCACCAAGATTTCAAAATACCGCTATAGTGTTACTGTTGAAAATACTGTCAAAATACTACACACCTTGGTAAATGGTATAAAGTCTGGAAGATGTGACAGTATAAAAAAAAGATACCGCCCAAGTATAGTGGAAAGAAACAAAATCTAAGGCTCCTAAAGGAATTAGCTCTATCTTAGACTGACAGAGTGTAGGATGATTCAGTGTGCTGCCCTTTCTTACAGGGCGAGCATTGAGACAGTGCCCCCTAGGGGTGGGGGTGAGAGGAAGAGTGGTGATATGCCATCACAGTAAAATGAAAAACGTTGGGTGGAGAGGGAGAGGATTACCGATTTTTTCCACAGGGGTGTTCAGAGGCAGGAAACCCTGCTTGACAAGCTGGTCCATCATCTCCTCATCTTCGGTCTGGATCTCTAATACCATGTTGCACGGTATGAGGCCCATTCTACCACTGACTTCTCCTCGGTAGAACCCGTCTGTGTCCTTGTCCCCATATACCTTAGTCAAGCAACGGTCAAACAAATGAGAAGCAGAATCAACCCCCATTCCCCCTTACTGATGTACAGATGTCTCATACAGAAGAAAGACGGTCTACATGAAATGTCTTTGAACTGAGCCTCATCAGGGTGTATCCTTCAGGTCCACCCGGCAACAACAGGCCTGCCGCTCTAATACCTCCAAATGGTGAATTATACTCCCCTGACCCCACAAATGTCCAAACAAGTGTCACAAATCCTATAGCTTAGCCCCTAATACACAGCACATTAAGTACAAACATTTAACCGGCGATAAATGCAATCCTAGATGAGACTGCGGCTCAGTGGATAGAATGACGGCAGCTTCACATCTCCAGGGTTGGATGTTATCCACACTATTGCATGGGTTTCCTTCCACAGTCCCACAGTAGGACTGGCATCTCTAAATTGCCCATACACTGTCAGAACAGAAGAGTACCAATCCTTTGCTTGTTACTGGGGCTGTACCCTCAAGAGTCTCCCAATTGTACCTCAGCTGTAGGTAAGTGTACCTTATAGTCTAATTGAAGGCACAGAAATGGACAATGAGGAACATTTTTGTACCACTGGGGGTACATTAATGTTATTTGTACCTTGGGGATTGTACCTTAAATTAGACTAAAAAGTACAGTTACCTACAGCTAGCGCACAATTGGCAGACCCTTGAGGGTACAGCCCCAGTGACAAGCAAAAGTACAATTTGGTACTATTTATTCTGACAGTGTAGTGTTTGTGACCTGTGATGACCTGGCATCCTGTCCAGTGTGTAAATCATTATACCCTATGCTGCATGGGGCAGGCTTAGTTTCCACTATAATACTCTACTGAGTAAGTGGATGTAAAATTAATGCAATTAATATCTGCCCCATTTTGGAAATATCCACAAAATGAAGAATGTGCACAGACACCCACCTTGATTATCTGCCCCTCCTTAAAGGGCAGCTCCTCATCGGCACCATCAGGGTTGGGGGACATGGAGATGGGGTCGTAGTCGAACAGCGCCACGAAAATCCGAGACAGGTCGTCTGGCTCCGATTCCTCGTAATAATCGGGGGATCGGCGATCACGGCCGCTGTAGCCATCTGCAATATAAGAGACCACCTGACCATCTAGCCATGCTTAACCACCATGGGACGCCTGAAAACGTGATGTTGATAACAGCTGACAGAGGCAAAGGCTGTCCAGCAGACGTGCGAAGACGATTATTTCAATAGATCGAAGTTCGAATTTGAACTGCATAATTTGATAATTTAGTGGGGATGTTTTTAGCAGGAACAATTTAATCAAATTTAACTGTAAGTTCATTCTGGCTTGTACCCAGGATAGACATCCATAAACACAGACACTGGAAGCAGAATCACTGCCAAGCTGACACAAGCCCATTGTCCTTTCGTCATGGCACCTCTGCGAGGAGACCGGCCTCTGCAGTTCAACTCAGCAGGCGTTGAAACGACAAAGTAATTCTGCCGCAGAGTGTGGCGGCACACTCAGGTTCAACCATGCTGAACGTCGCCAGCAAAAGCACATGGTCGTTTCCAGCGAGGATGTTGGGAGTAGGAACATTCCGATGGGCATGCGGATGGCGATGGTGGGGGGGGGGTCTACATTGCTGTTTTACAACACTTTTTTCCAAACAGGCATGCATCAGACTCTATCTATCTGCTTTTCTTTCTTTTTTTCCCCCCAGAAAAAGCCTCCCTATCTATAAATGTGAACACACCATCTTAAAAGGACAAGAAAAAAAAACATCACTTCATGCTTTCATCAAACAGGAAATGACTCAGGTTAAGGTCAGAGGGGAAAAACGGGAACTGGGCACGCTCAGTAGACAGACAAACAGTTATATGCCACGACACGTACCAAAGGCCTCCAGGGAAATACAGACACCGTAAGCAAAGCGTTGAACAACACCTGTTACGGACGAACCATGCACCTTAGACGTCATCATGCGGGACAGCATTTTCAGCAGGATTCTGTTGGCTGGATACTAAATGTCATCTTGTATATAGTTTTTACATCCCCAAATGTTAGATCTACAACTCAAATTTACCTATTGAAGTAGCAGAAAGGCATCATATTTATACATGATACACATTATTATACATAAATATATGTATGCATGTAAACTGATTATTTATTAAAATGTAGCTACTTTATTAAGTAGCCCCCAGCAGAGCTTCTGGGATCTACAACGAAAGGCACCATTTAAAGTGCGTCCAGAGGGCTGTGTAGGGCAAATCGTCAACTTATTATATCAATCGCTTATAAGGTAGTTTTATTCAAACAGTTTACACAGCTCCCCCATTTTTTGTTTTTAAACAGAGGACGTTAATCCTGAGTTTTTTTCAATTCAGCAATTTTGGCATCAGGATTTTGGAAAATATAAACTGTCATTGTTATAAATCATTACCTATGCAGGACGAGAGAGAGCTGTACTCCAGCCAGGCCTTAATAAAAAGGCAACACTCTGAATAATACAATGTAAAAGTACCGTAAAAAAAAAAACCATAATTTTCCTGTGGATTTTTTTACTGATCGTTTTGTTAGTCTGCATTGGAAAAAGTCAGATAAGTAAAGTGTCAAATGAGAATTAAATTTAGGTTGAGCGTAGAACCTGTGGGGGTGAGAGGACGGCTTTATTTTACCCAAAGAGCTTATTTTGGTTTCATGCTCTTCACATGACAGAGAACACCACCACGGGGATTGATATTCAGCATTGCAATTCTCCTTATAGTAAGTAACCAGTCATGCAAAATAAACAATGTCAGACAAGGCAGTGTACAGAAGTTTACAGGAGGCAGGGAGGGAGGGTACAAAGGGGTTTCTGACAGGGGTCCAAAGTTGGACTGGAGCATACATGGGAACACTCATTCTGCAGCTAGCTACTGTAAGCAGCCATCTTGGATTCCCTGCCTTCCAGGGCCCACCACCCCCCCACACAACACATACACACTTCCCAGCACCCAATGTATTCACACTAAAAGACGTGCAACATGAGGTGGGGGAGGGGGAGGGTGTAGTCTAGCACCCCACCCAAAAATATTTCGTATCAGAAGCTGCTCTCAAATAGGTTCCGAAGCAGCTTTGTTACAAGGCACAACTCTTTTGTATGCGTCATTATATTTCTTTGTTTGGTTAAAAGAAGCCACCCCACATACCATATTGATGTTCTGAGGCCACACTTCGCTGTAAGGACCATTTCCTGCGGCCAGCTACACTGCCATAGTTAACATCCTCCTTGTCAGGTGAGAGGTGTCCCTGACTCCCCTCACTGTTACTCTCCATGGTGATCTCTACAGAAGACACCAATGAGAACATTACATCTCCAAACCCTGTCCACCCCCCACCCTCACCGCAACCCAACCCACACCCCCAATACCACTTCAAACACTCATCACTTGGGCCTGCCTTACCCTCAAGGCTGCCCATTGCTTCCTCCGGGTGAAAGCAGAGTTTGGGGGCGTGGGGGGAGGGGGTCAAGGGGGTTAGGTAAGAGGGTGGGGGGAATGTCAGGGCCTTTTGAGATGCAAGGCCGAGTTCAGGGTTGCTCCATTGTAAAACAGCAATGCCTGCAAGTCTTGTTGAAACACACAGAAGCAGACAACTACTCTGGTCCTCCAAGTTTTCATCAGATAAAGTTAGAGGAAACTCAGCTGAAAATGATCTGGCTATTAATTGGCTGAAAGAAAGCATGTTATCCAATGAGGGCCATTTATTTATGTATCACCTTACCAGCCGTCAATGAGCGTTCTTCATGAGCCGGCCGCCCAAAATGCCATCGCATGTTGAGATATATTTATTTGTAAGAACAGAACACTGTATGTTCATGTGCATGAGTTGGAGCCACAGGTGTCTATGGTGATTTTAGTCATGTTTCCATGACGAGATGCGGAGCTCAAGTGAGTAAGAAACACATGGGATTAAACGAACATAACAAAAACAGACAAAACTGCCGGTGATCCAGGACGGGACGGTGGCATCGGGTCAGTATGTCCCTCGCATGGAGACCGCACTAACCAATGGAGGGAACCATCATGGAGCGGCGCTGGGGGGGGGCGCTGCTGTGGGCCAGTCTCCGCCCCGAGTGCTCCAGCCGGTCAGTGGTGCTGCTCGCTGTATGGGTGTTACCTAAAATCTTAAAAGGAGAGACACAAAGACATTAAGGCCAGCCGCCTACACACAACAGGAAAAACTACCTATCAAGGAAGGGGCAGGAAGAAACTACAATCTGTCCCCCCATCACAAAAAATCAGCTTGTCTTCAAGGAGCTAAAATGGCAAAACAAACAAGAAAAAAAAAAATCAACTAGGGCCAAACAAATCAAAGCCCCCAAACAACAAGAATCAAGATTTGGCTGAATCAAATGCTAAAGACCATTGTTATTGTTTTTTGTTCTGTATGTGTTTGTTGGCTGATGGGCATACTGAGCAAAACAAAAAAATAAATAAAACGAAACAAATAAAGTTACTGCATGATAGATGCTTTGAGGAGTGATTGGAGACAACCATAATGGCTTCGACCTGGAACGGGCAAGGCAAAACAGGGAAGAGGGGCACCCTCACACCAGGAGCCAAGGCTAAAGGGAGGAGCCGGTCACTAGGCAGGAAGAGAGATCGACGTCCAACGTGATACGTCTGGGTGTGTCGTGGTGAGGGTGATTGGTGATGTGCTCAGACAAAAAGCTAACAATTCCAATCTAAGCGACGCCAGTCGCGTATAACACTTAAAGGCAGGAGAAAAAGTGAACTACACAATTAATTAATTAATTAATTAAAATACAGCACACAAAACCTGAGGAAAAGTGAAGCCACCCACAACATCTGAAGGCAGAGAATAAACAAGCGATGAGTAACATTTATAATCACAGAAAAGGCAGGGTGAGTGAGTGTTTTTAGGCATACTAGGCGGGTATACCAGGCGGGTATACCAGGCAGTTTTTAGGTATACCACACAGGTAGGCGGTGAATAAAAAGGTTTTAGCCACAAGGCACACAGGAATACAGGTGCTGGGCTGACACACGTAGGTGTCAAAGGGTCAAAGGGCAACAAGTGCGTGTGGGTGATACCAACAGCAGAGCTGATTTTATATAGCAGAGAAGTTTAATTTAAAAAGGAACCAATTTGATACTATGTGTGTAAACTATATTTGCTAAATATATTTTCCCACCTTTTAGAAAGAAAGGTTAAAAATCACGTGAAGAGCTGATTGGGTGCGGAGGTGATGAAGGGCTTGTCAATCATGAGGGAAGAGAGGAACACCAGACATGGGGAGGGGGGAGGAGGGGGTGGATATTTCTGCTGTCCAGCTTGGTAATGGGAGGGGCAAGGGTGAAGTCAAAGGGGTGGCGGAAACTATTATGGTTGAACCACTCTTCTATATGTTTTTTTTTTCTCCCCACAGAAACAAGAAACAAACCCGTTCTGAAATGGCCTTTAGGTAATCAAAAACAAAACCAGGAGCATTATCTAAGAACAAACAAGCGTGAAACAAAGATCTACTTGATGCAGCTGGTATTATTTGGCACAATGAATCAATGCACAGCGATACAAAAATCAAAAACAAAAACAAAAAATCTATGGAAAAAAAGAGTAACCCATAAAAAGACACCAAAAAGGAGGGAAAAGGAGTGATTTTACTGATTGGCGATGCAGTGTAAAGCAGGCGTATGATTAGGCCGCACACACCAGTGGCTCCTCTGGGCTCCAGCTGAGTTTTGTCACTGAGTGTGCCCTATAGTCCCTGTGATAGGTTCTGCTGAGCTCATTCAACCGGCCCTCACTCAGAGCCACCTCTCCGGCCAGCCGCCCACGCTCTGCCTCCCGTCCCGGCCTGCACCGCAGCTCCTGGCTCCGCAGGTGTGCCACGTGCACGGTCTTGGGGCCCATTGCTGGGACGTCGCTGAAGTCCTCCTCCACGCTGCACTGTCGGGTCAGCGTCCTCTTACGCCCTCCGATGCCAGGGGCAAGGCCCGCGGGATGGGGCTCACGGCCGGGCGGCCAGCCGTGGCGGCGGCCCAGGGAGCCCTCCTCCTCGCTGCCGCAGTCCAGGCCGCTGTCTGGGCTCTTGGTGACCTGCCGGCCGCCGTCGGAAAAGCGGGGCGAGGAGCGCTGCCGAGGGAGTCTCCGAACGCCCTTGCTGGGGGACAGGCGGCGGTACGGGCGCGGGTCTTGGGGACAGGCCCAGCGACGGGCCTCCTCAAAGTGCAGCCGCTGCCCCGGGCCTGGAGGCTCCCCACAGTCGGGCTCCTCCTCAGCCACCTCTGGGATGCTGTGCAGTCGCTTGCTACGAAGGGAGCGCCTCCGCACGACTTCACGCTGCAAGTCCCAGCAGTCCCGCTCGTCCGCTAGGTCCTGACGCCTATAATAGGCCTTCAGCCATTTTGGTCGCGTGGTTGCCGTGATTTGGTTAGTTTTGCATTTTTTTAAACAATTCAGCATTTTTTTAGGTTTTTGTTTTGTTTCAATTTTGTTTGTTTTTTTGTTTTTTGTTTTGAAGGTGTTAGAACAGGCGGGACACAACACAGTGTGTGAATAGAAAATAAAATGGGAAAAAAGACAAAATAAAGACAGAATTAGTAATTCGAGGCAATGGTGAAACATAATGCATGCAGACTCATTCCATGAAGGAAATGGCATGCTTCCAACGGGAATCTGTGGGAGGGAAAAAAAGAAAAACAAACAGAAATGATAACACACAGTAGCTGTGTTTCGGAGAGGATTTTGGATGCTGGGACAGATTCAGATCAGCCAAAGAGTCTCTGGTGAATCGGCAGAGAAATCTGGCAGAGAACCAGTCCTCAGAGAAACGAATAGACACATGAATGGCGTGGAAAGCCTGACAGAGGCGGCTAAATGAACGAGAGTGAGAGTGGTAAGGCATAACAAGCACATTCTGAGCGACTGAATCCCACCACATGGGGCAAAAGATAGCAAAGCACTTCTTTAAAAAACAAACAAAAAAAAAAAACAAACAAAAAACCTCATATTCTGTTCTAACAGTTTCAAAGCTACCTGTGTCCTCCAGAACGTAGTTAGAAAATCTGACATTTTGTGGCTATTTACTGTTATTTTCCTTATTTGCTACTTTTTACATTATTCCCATTGTACACATACAAGCCTGCAGGGAAGGATTCCATGCTAGATCCAGTTGACGCTGAAATTTGTGGAGGTGCCAGGAGCTGGGTTCTTAGTTTAAACTAATAACGGCATCAGCTATACTGTCAACTTTCTATATTCACTGGTGTAGAGTCCTGTGTTCATATTTACAGAAATAATCATCCCTTTAAATCCATCGACAGAAAAGTCTTTACCTCACAGAAACCGTGCAATTAAGAGCTGCTCTGAAACATCGAGACCTTCTACATCTGCGCTAATGGACTTTCTGCCGCTGTCTGTCACTCCAAGAACCACTTGCAAACACACTCTGCAAACCATGTGTGGTTTCCTAGCATGGTGAGAGTATCAAACAGTGATGGATGTACAGCGACGTACATTGTGATAGGGAAAAAAGAACAGAAAACTGAGTGTGTAGACATGATTCCAATAATAGAAAAGTAGAAAACGAAAAGGTGTTTTAATTTTTTAATGATGACGTTTTCAAAATACGCCACTCCGCAGCCGAAACTGTGGTCCTTTGTATTTAGTAATGTTGTCTGTCACACCTATATCAGCTATGACATGTACTAAGAATTACCTACGTATCACTCCACATGTCAGATTAAGCGGCTTCATAATAAAAGAAAACCTCTCAATAAATATTAGTGCATAACAGAATACATACACTTTTATTAATAGGTATTACAATCCTGTTTTATCATTTTAACTGATCATTATCGGTGTAATTTGTGGCATTTTCATTTTTTATGCAATTTATTTATCAGACATGTCATATAAAGAAGACTTCTAATTAAATTTCTACTTCAAAAATCTGTAACTTTGACACCAGAGAACCAACTGCGTAAAAAAATGTGCAAGAAAATCTCATAAAGGAATGCATGAATATTTGTCGGCTCCCAAGTGGGCTTAGCTAGCTGGGATGCTCATCCCAAACTTGCTGGAATTACCCAGTTCTGCTGTCAACTGTGACCCCCTGAGTGGTTGTTATATTCAGGTAACAGCTTGGCAGCAAAGCCTTCAAAAAAAACCAGACAGAAGGACCTAAAAACAGTAACCCTATCAAGACACTGGCAGAATTCAGACCGATTTATGGCGCAACACTCATTATTCAGGAAATCACTGCAGAAAAAGAGAAATACCCTGACCGGCCATGTGCCATGTAACAATGTAACACCCACACTGGCTCATTTACCTGATAACAGTGGCCACTGCAATGAGCAAAGACAGCGGCCAGTCATGTCAATGATATACTATAAGATTTCACCATTTCTGAGTGATTTATGTATCCTACTGTCAATAATCACACACAAATACACATCTGTAGCTGTTTTTATATAACTTAATATCCCTCCGCCAAGAAAAATACCTTATTAACATTTTATAACAGTTATGCTGTTAAAACCTAAAATCTTCATAAAGTTTATGATAATTTCTCAGTTGTACATCATCATAAAAAAAGGAAGGAGAAACTGGTGTGCATCCAAAATTGCTCACTCTCAAACCATAATATCCTTGTTTCTATGGAAACATTTCTCACAATGCTTTACTTGTTTCCAAGTTTTGGATGTACTAGTTATTGAAACTTTTTGTCAAATAATTACACCACTCTCTTCTTTGGCATTTCGCCATGTATTTCAAGTGCATTCAGGTGAATATCTTTACATTAATGGAACCTATAAAATTTGAATGAGTTTTACGGCTCAGATTTATTTTGCACTTTTACAGTTTAATTGGTGTAGTACTTCACACGAGATTCGTTGATGACCATGAAATAACTTTCTGGTGTGTTACTGTGTGATCACTCAACACAAGCTGCACAACATTAAATAAATGTTAGACTAGAAAACAATTAAAACACAAATGTGGGAAAAGAAAAAAACAACATGAGACAATAAGGAACGAAAATGTGAATAATCGTTTCATTTAAGCAGTGACACTTAAATGAGATTCCCGAAATTACTCATAATGTCGTAAAACATCCTGGCTGATCACACTGTTCACTCTGTGGCCGTTAAGTGCAACGCATTCCTCGTGTGACCTCACTGAGCTCTCCAAGGGGAGTCAAGCATCTGACATTCAGGAGTCCGGTATCACTGGTCTGAACAGTGAAGTAGATTTTGTGTTGGCTGGGGGGGGGGAGGGATAACATGACTCTACATCATGCGTGACCTGTGGCCCCGTGACTGAGAGCCTTAGCAGCATTCTCACAGTGGCGTGCGCGAGCAGGTGTGTGTGTTTATAAGTGTGTGTCTGTCCACAGAGTGGTGCTATGGGAATGTGTTAGGCTTTTGGATGGCCAAGCGGAGCTCCACACCGTCGCCGTGTTAGTGGACAACGCAGGCGCGTTCAGCAAGGCATGAGGGGCTGCAGGCTGCCCGCCTACTGAGCGGGAGTGCATGGGGGCTGCCCGTTTGCCCAATCGTCCCCGGGGGGCGGGGCAGGGGCGGGGCCGTCCTGCCGTACCTTGAGCGTGTTGTGAGAGTTGACGCTGCGTCGCCGCCCTTCCTCCAGCTGCATCTCAGAGTACAGCTCCTCCTCATCCTCCTCCATGATGTCGGACAGGTCTGACCCCCGGCTGCTCTCTGTCTGGTACTCCTCACTGTGGCTGTACAGCTGTGGCTGCACGGAGGCATGGATGCTCAGGCCCCCACCGCCGCTGAAGGCACGGCCTCCCCCTCCCCGTTTAGGGAGCCCAGCCCCTCATCCAAAACACCCCACCAAGACCCATATGTGTATGATGGTACAATTTTTATTTGTTTCTTCAGTTTTTTATTTATTCCTTTCATTTATAATTACAGAGCTTAGCTGGAGCTCGATAGCAGATTGCATTTAGGATTTTAAACTTTTCCATCCTGCTCATATTCCTTAATAAATGCACTGCACAATAACTGCTTTTACTGTTTATTGAATAGTTTATTAGACATATAGTGTACTGTACTGCACCTTGCTTTTTTAGTGCTAAATCTGCACTGTGGTTGTACAATGTTGCCATTATTTTCACATTTTAAGTTTTACCAATTTTAGGAGCTGCACAATTTACTGTGATAATACAGCAAGTACCAAGAGTGCAAGTACTTTAACTGCCTTGCTCTATCTGACCATCCATAATATAGTTACTCACTGCCTTTGGCTGCAGTTCTTGTCACGCAAAAGGTGCAGTTCAGCTAGCATGACACTAGGCGGAGTGCCACATTATTTATTATATGTCTACCTTGTCAGTAAACATAGTAAAAGCAAGAGAACATGAGCATTCAGTTTATAGCCACACATTACCTACTGCAACCCACATTTCTGAAATAGCTCTTTGGGTAATATTAGCAAAAACTCCAGAACTATTATAACGTAGAAATCATGTTTAAATACAGCCTTGGAAAAAAATAAGAGACCACAGCACAGTTTTCTAATTCACTCATTTCTCAATTCATGGGTATGCATCTATGAACAAAACATTTCTTTTTTGCAAAATGCAGCCTGGTTCTTCTGTTTCTCATTAATGAAGGGCTTCTTCCTTGCTTTATGGGACTTCAGTCCTGCTTCTAGCTCTGATATGAATTGTCCTAGCAGGGCACTTCACACCTGCACTTAATATTTCCCATTCTTTTTGAAGGTAACTTGATGTCATCCTATGACTCATGAGAAACTGTCAGATAAGTTAACGGCCATCTCTTGCATTAGAAAGTCATATCCGGCCTTTACCTGGCTGGTTTCTGGTCATTCCCAGTGTCTTCTGATTCACCTTATTCTTATGTACTGCTGTCTTAGAAATTTTGAACCTGGAAGCAACCTGCTGCTCAGTGTAGCCTTCTGCCAGCAGAACCAGGATTTTAAAATACAGATTTGTTTAAAAATATAGAGTGGTCTCAATTTTTTCCACAGCTGTATGTGTGTGTATATATATGCATACACATATGTGTGTGTGCCCACATGCATGCGTATTTAATATTTTATCATTAAATAAACAGCTCAGCCATTATAAAACAACGCCGAAATAGACAGCTTGCCCCCTGGTGGACGTTCTTGCCCGTTGGAGATTCTCACAGTATATGAATGCCGCGGGTTACCTGTCGACCCAGCTCTGAGCCTCGCAGGAAGTCGTCGACCGACACCCCTCGTCTCCTGCTTCGAATCACCTCGTAGCCATCCTCCTCTTCGTCGGAGTTCAGCGGGTGGACGGCACCTCTCCTCTCACTGAAAATGTTCCCCTTCTCCACCTGGCCGGTGGGTTAAGGGGGGGGTTGGTGGGCAGCTTGGTCTCCAGCAAAGGCCTCCACCTTAGCTGTGTGCCTAAACCAAAATCCTCTTAACATGGCACCATATGCTTGTGACATCTAATGGGTTCACACTGCAGTACATCCAGCCCATTTTATCTAGTTCACATTCTAAAATAGTACACCTTTGGTCCATTAAAAATAAACAGTACATAATACTATTCTCTTTGTTATACAGGTTAATGCCAATCACAATCTGAAATATAATCGTAAGACAATGGTTCTCTTACTTGAAGTGGCACCATTTTCCACTTCAGTCTGATTTTGTCATTTTGTGTTCTGACTCCTGATGGCCAATCACAGGGTTTCTTTTCCCCCCACTCCCATTGCACCCACCAATCACGTGATTGCTCCACCCCCTTTCCCCTTACTCACGCGGTTGTTCTCGGCCACTCTCTGAGCAGCCTCCCGGGCGATGGCTTTGGCCACCGTGTTGGGGATGGGGGTGCCCTGGGGCTGCGGCAGGATCCTCTGCGGGGAGGGCGAGCGGCGACCCTGCATGTGGGGGGGCTCGAGGGCGTGACCGTGTGATGGGGGCATCGAGGCGGGGGGGCACGCCGGGTCCCATGACGGGCTGATCCTGGCACCCTGGTGGGGCCCCCCTGCCTCCGGCTCTTTGGTTTCGCTCTCTCTGGCACTTGCTAACGGCTTGAGCCTGGGGTGTGTTTGTGGCATGGGCTGCAGGGGCGGGAGGGGTGACTGGTGGGGTGGGTGCAATGGCTGAGGCAGGGTGTGCGACTGCGGCCGGGGCATTGATTGGATCTGTGGCTGGGGGTGGGATGGAGGGTAGGTTTGCGGGTATGGTGGGGGGTGCACCTGAGGGCGTGGTGTGTGGGGTGGAGGGTGGAGGACTGGGGGCTGCTGTAGTGGGGGGTGCTGAGGCAGGGGTGGAGGAGGCACCAGGAGGTTGTTTGGAATGGTGGCGGCAGAAGAGTCCTGGGACTCTCCTTGTGTTGACAGTGTCCTGACGATGACCTCCCGAGCTTCCAGACACTGTATCCTGTTGAGCTCCACCAAGACGTACTCTGCGTTTGGGAACATCACCTCAGCGATCTGTGAAAAGACGACTCCGCTGGGGGAGGTGGACCAGAACAAGAGCCCCAAGTGAATAATACCCTAACCCTGGCTATAGGCTTTTAACCCGGGCTTTTATTTTCTCTTCTCACAGAAAATTCAATATGCTGGAAGATATTTTATTGACAAAATCGCCAATTATACATAATTTAAAAATACTGGAAGTAATCAAGGAACATATTTTGAACATTAACATTTTGGGAATATTGGCTGAAAGCCTTAAATTGTAAATTGTAATTGTGCATTCTTTTCCACTAGGGGGCGCAAGAGATCAACAACAGTTATGGGGACACTCAAACCAAAATCAATGAGCATCGGGATCACGGAATTAAGAATGTGCCTCAATGGAATCGATAACCCTCAGATTTCGCCATCACCTCCATCGACCATGACCTTACTTTTTGCCCTTTCGTGCAGACAGCGTAGCCAATTACGCTTGCTCCGTTTGAAGTTCCATTGGATGTGAGTGGTGGGGGCTTCCATCGCACCTGGAGCACGCCTGGAACCTGTGCACACTGGACCTGCACCTCCTGAGGCGGCTGTGGCGGTCCTAGATGTGGGGGAGGCAGGGAAACAGCCTGAGAGTCCTGGATACACGTTAGATGCTTTCCCATCACAGGAACGTTTTTCTGGAACAAGAGGTGAAGATCGTACTTATGGTCTTGGCAAGACCGGTCCTGCTAACTTGCGTCCCAAGAACGAACTTGGGGTGCAATGAATCATGGGATTGGCGTCATTTGGCAAGTATGCAATTGATGTATCCTTGACATTTGGGGCAGAGCAAGAATGACATCTCAGAACTTTACCCATGTAAAACAGGTACACGAGAACACAAGTATGCATAGTGAGAAACACCCAAGGACTTTTATTCTGGAACCAGGAATTTCTGTAGCAACTCTGGCTTAATTTCTCAGAAGCAGTTCCAGAGCACATTATTTAGTCTTTTCTCTGGACTAGGTACTTTTTGTTCAACCACAAACTACTGGGGTGGTCCTATTGTGATGAGCTTGCTGGTCAACCACAAACACTGGCACTAACTTTTAAGATATGCGGAAGCGTGGGGAAAAGAGGCAGACGTAGTGGAGCAAAAACAGAGCAGATGGAATTATTTTTGAATCTCAATTATATTTCATTTCTTTAATGAAATCCTTATTTGCTTGCATCTCCATATTTCTGCATTGGAAAATTCAATCAATAACCAATCTACTTTTGTCTAATATTACTGATGCCAGCAGTGAAACTTGCTGAATAACATTTTTTATTCTGTGGAAGTTGAAAGATTGATCTGCTGGCCAGACATAATAATAAATTATAAACATGTCACAGTTTGTATAAATAAAATATAAGTAAGACTGCGTGACTGATTCACCCAAAAACTAACAAAACGACTCAGTCATCCTCTCTCTGTTGTCAGGCATAAGATATTTGGTCATAAATGTCCACATTGGTTGGGAAATTATCTGTTTTTATTACCATAATATTTGTGAATGGTTATTAATTGAGGAGTGGCTGTAATGTAAACCTGCTAACACAGATGGATATTATAATGTATTGTTTTAAGGTTACAACAGCAGAACAGCTCTTGGGACTTGGACTGGAGCATTCAGCTAAGCCACACCTCTGTGATAACCGCTGATGAGCCGAAACCTAATCTATCATGTATAAAATGCTCCATCAGCAGACTAGCTGGCCATGATGCCACACTTTCATTCACTTTCTAATATATAAACTGGACTTCAGGTTTATTCTCCCTGCTTGTTGCCGTTTTGCAAAAGCCCGACCAGCTATCTTTTCTGTTTGCTCCACCCTCCCAATTTATTATGGCATATTAAATCCTCTGTTCATCCTTCCATCCTTCTTAAATATCCAGCTCAGGATCTGGTCGTGACCACAAACAGCCTTATGTATCAAGCCGGGCCTGAAGCCTCCCCATACCATAGCCCATTTCGGCCCCATGTCCTCACGTTCTGTCCATTTCAGGTTCCCTAGCCGACTTTGCCTCTGCATGTGCCAGGCAAGGTTCGTCATGCGTGAGATGGAAAATTAACTGCACTTGGCTTCTCTGGTTCTGAATCACTGCTACAGAATGCCCGCCCTCCCCAGGCACCATTCGATCCTCAGCTCAAGACTGTAATTCTGGCACAGAAACATGACAAAATATTTGGTACCTTATCAAAAACTTTCCACAGCCTCCAGTCTTAAACACAGACAAAAGACACTGAATGGAACGATTACCTCGTGAAGGATACTACACAGGAAAGGGGACAGGGCTGAGTTTTCCTCTCATACTCCCCCCCTCACCCTCATTAAAAGCTTACATCTTTCTTCCTCGATGCCTTAAAAACCTTCAAACCCCCATTCCCAAAAGTAGCACCCAGCAAATCTGCCTTCCAATACTACCCCTCCGGTGGTGGGTGTCAAAGCTCACCCTCGCATCGCTACCTGTGTGTGCATGCTTTTTTCATTTAATGTAACAAAATATAATGAAATTATACACAAGAAGCACTTCTTTTCAATACACACTGAGGATGGACTTCACTTTTAGCATGACGGGGGGCATTTCTGTGAGCGTGCCTGCCCAGCAGCACTGCAGAGTTCTGGTACAAGCACTCTGCCCACGCACAGCACTACAGTCAAAGCTCCCAGCCCCCACAGGATTTATGCAGCCCTCCAACCCCCACCCCCTAATAGCACTGTCCCCATGGGTATACCCAGGGACCTGATTCTCTGAAGCAAGTATATCTCTCATCCAGACTGACAGGGGACTTGCCAGGACCCCCACCACACTGCTCGCTACAACCACACAAATTTATCATCAGGGGAACCGTCTTTTGATGTTTCTCCCCCCTCTTCAGCTGTGGGAATCTCTTTTTCATGCTTAACCGTTTATCATTAATTGCTGTTATATCTGTAATACTGTGACAAATTATTTCATGTCGTTGCGTATTACCCGCTGCAAGTCGCGCGAACTGTGTGAGGGGGGGGGGAGCGCTGCTTGGAAGCAAACCGGACCAGCTGTGCGCAGCCGCGCGTGTCCGCCCGATCTGCAGCAGCTCCAGCAGCAGGGAGGAGCGGTGGCTCCATCCAGCCTCCGCGCGCCCTATAGGAGGCGGAGAAAAGGCGGTGCCTCGCGGAGACGCACTCAGCTGGAACCGGATTTTTCGACAGTCAACCCCCCGGCACGCCCAATTACGAACGTGACTTTTTATTCCTTCAAGTTATTGCAGTGCTACGCACTTCAGCATTCGTAAGACAATAAATGAGAGGTTGTGTGCGGCTAAGCAAGACCAGGGGTCTGTATCACGAAGAGAGATTCGTTTAGTTGGATAACTTGTCGGATTTAAGGTACCCCAATGGACTTAATTTACCCTGGGCTACCTTTAACAAGTTCTTGTTAGCACAAAAATCGAGCTTTGTAATACAGCCCGCTTTCTTGCATTAACTGGAGTCGCAAAGTCATCCATAAAAAGTCGCTTTGAAGTGTCTTTTAAACTTCCACCGTGCGCAGCGCGTTGGGGCATTGCAGAGTCCCCAGAGAAGTGCTAACGGGGGGTCGCTGAGGTATATTAATGACCTGGATGGTTCTGATTTAATAATAAACAGCGGTGAAGGTGTAAGCAACATGTCCTCTACAATAACCAGAAAAAAAACACCAAAACAACAAAGTTTGTTATTTAAATGACCAAAATGGTTAGATTAAGTCAAACTGGACATCTCAGCGCTGTGACTAATGAGAGGCACTGACATATATTGCACATTAAAGTAAAGCTAAAACAGATTCTGTCAAAGGCTATTACCAAATCCTTTTGAAACTAGTGATGTCAACTTTGGAAATATCACTGGGTAAATATTTACTTAATTCCCTTAAGGCGACCTGGGGATTATGAATCTGAGGTTATAAACAAGAAGTGACTAGTTCTATATATATATATATATATATATATATCTCTTCGGAAAAAGCACGCGTAGGGAACATTACTGGGTCATGTGACTGATATTGTCCTATCAAATGCGGCATTGATAATACGCAGTGTGATGGTTGTAGGTTCATCGATCGGCATTGAATCCCCCACCCCCACCCCCACTAAACAGAATCGCCATCGGGGTTACCACAACACCATCATGGCTCACTGAGCGCTCCTTATCAGATACAACGTTGAATAGCATTTTTCTTCAGGTTTGCTGAAACCCAAGCTGCTTGCCAGGTCACGTGATTCTG